ATCAAGCCTGATGAGTCAGAAATGGTGACTTCTCGATGAGCTATTATTAGAAGCCATCAAGGAAACGGGACTCTGCAAACGTACCAGTAGAAGAAGGGCTGCCTGCTTTCACTGTGGAGCCAATAGTCATAGTAGAAATGGAGATTGTGACCATAGCGATGTCGAGGATCAATCTGTTGATTGCCAATAAACTGACAAATATGACAAATGGAGATTGGAGAGAGATATGAATCTTGGATCTACCAGGCTTACCGCTTCTAGCCAATGTTGCAAGGCAAGTTTTTGAGCTTTTTGGTCCTTTGATAACCCCTTGCCAACCTGCAAATCAAGCATGGATGCATGCTCGACATCACACGATCGGAAGATAATCACGGCATTGGTAGTTTGATTGCAGAGAGAAGCAATTTACCTTAGCAGCTCTGGTTCTTGCTCTCGACCATCGAGAAACAGCTGATTCTTCTTTCTCAATGTCGAAAAACGACACAGAACTCAGCTTGAGCAGTGCAAAGTCTATCAATTTCCACCTAGTTAAAGCAAGCAGGGAAAAGGAAAACATATTAGTTGTCTGAGCTAAACGAAGATCAGATACGTATGCTATATGTCATACCATTGCTGCTCGACGATGACAGCACAATCTGCAAGCTGCCTTCTTGTACGAAAGCTTTTGTAGACTTTCTGCAACTTCACAGCAGCTTCATGCTTCGGCTTGTCCTTCAAAACAGTAAACCTTGAAAGTGCAGGCTCATTTGAACTTTTCGAGTTGTCGTCTTCGGTGGTAGGATTCACTAGCGAGATCATCGTTTCAAAGTGGTAAGGGCGCATCTGCCTTGTGTTGTTGAAGCTCAGGGATCCTTTGACTACTAACTTGCCCGGCTGCAGAGTTTTGACCGTGGAAGGATTGGCATCTCGACCCTTGAAGCTCAAAGACCTCTGGGCTGGCCTCACATTGTCATTGAGAATGGCTTTTGAGCTTTCATCCTTGGCATCATCATCAACTTCTGGGAACGAAAATGATATTGGCATGTCGAGTTGGAACAGAGTAATTACCTATCAATTTTCTTCCTGCACAGCAATGATTGAAAGACACATCCGGTCAAGTTCACCGTAGATCGATCAAAGCTCAAACTAATTTCAACAAAGAATGAGTCAAATAAGTAGATGTACATGAGTGAAGCTCCTGTAGATCAATGAAGTCACAAGAGAAAAGACATCTCCTTCATTTATAATTAGACTTAGAAACTCCACTTAAGAAAATGAGCGGAAGAACCGAATCAATAAAAACATCAGCTTGCAATCGGTAAATCTCAGATCCAAAAGATAAGAAAGGATTTGGATTCAGGAACAAGAGGAACGATAAAGGAGTACAAGTCCTGCTAAAAACAAAGAAATTACTTGAAACAACAGAACATGCACGGCAACCACACCTTTGCCTCTTCTGCCTGTGGGAAGCCCACAAAAGCTTGATATATAAACAGAGAGAGAGAGAGAGAGAGAGAGAGAGAGAGAACAAAGAACACGGAGCTATGGAATTTGAGGTGACATGCTTATATAGGTAAGGGAGATGACGGTGCGATGACAGGGAAGAAATCCATAGTTCCAGCCACACGTACCAAGAATCCAACCGTGGACGCACTTGTTTTGTTTGTTTCGAGGACAGAGAAAAGCTGATGACTTTTTCTAAGGTTGACTCTTCTCACTCTACTTTTTTGACTCCATCTCGAGGAAGGGAGGAGGGCGAACGATCGCGACATGCATGGATATTTTGAGGCAATTCATATGAATTATTTAGCCCGCAGTTTGCTTGAGATCGGTCTCCTCCCAAAAAGATTATGTCTCACCGTCATTAATTCAAACATCTTAAGGGGCACTACTCCAACCGTGGTTAAAACTGCTGTCATGATATGATATGACACCTCCGAGCCAACTCGCTGCTCAGCCGTTTATGTGTCTCTCTGCCCCGCTTCGCACATTGTTTAGGCACGCACGAGACAGAGGGAGCTCAATAAAAATGGAGGCATCAACTGCACCACCGTCACGGCCAACTGTCCTCCCACACCACATGGCCCAGTGTTGGAGCATAAGACGGCCATGCGACCGACACAGAGGAAGGTGGCCCTCACCTTCGCCATGGAAGACAAAGCGCAGGAGATGGTGCGCCCATGGACGTAGATAAAAGTGTGTTTGCCGGCTTGTCGGAAGTCCATTGGACGAAGGCAGAACATAAGATACGCCACCAGCATTTGTCTATCGTTTGATGTCGCTTTTCCGTCGAAGACGTCTGTATCGTACGGTCTCAGGCATCGACCGATCCGAGCTGCTCTTCCTTTGTTTATTGGGACAGTGAGTGGTTGGCGAGAGAGGTAGACGGCGTTCGTGTATCGGTGCCTGAGTCGTTGGAACCTTTCCCGAGAGGAACTCGAACATCCGACGGTGATTCCTCTCCTCTGAGTCAGCCATCACCTGAATCGGAGCGTCTTGCATGACTCGGCACAAGATTCCGATCATATGAGACGAATTGGTTGTGCTAACAGGAAGGATCATAAACATTACATTTGTACCATGTAATATTTTTATTCCAAATAAATCATATCACTAGCGATGCATGATGTCGGATCAAAAGATTTTTTTCGACAGTTAGATTAATAAAAATGATGATGATGATAATAATAATAATAATAAATAATTATTGAACTCACTTTTGCTTAGGTAGAATAATTTTAAGATGAAGATCTCACATGTCTCGTAATAGAATCATATCCTCGGAAATATAAAAGAAATTTATTTTACCAATCCATTTCTAATTGATGCATCATAATATTTTTACCATAAAATATAGTAATAACAAAAAATATATATGATATCATTTTTCATAATATTTTTGGCTTAATCTAAAAAATTGACTGAACCAATCAGTTCATTTTGATTTTTTTTTGGACACAACTCGGACCGGCCTCTCCGGACCAATTACTAGTCCACTTTTCGATCCGATTCTTGTAGCCCGTTGGGTTCATCGGCGCAGACTGTACTTGAGAACCTCCAATCTAATGGTTCGTTCATCGATCGAGATCATCAAGTTCAAGCACGTCCGTCAGAGCGCATTGAACGGCTGATAGGCGGTCTCGAGGGCATTTTCGGTCAAACGAGATCCACCACCACCTGTATATAAGCATCGCTACGAAGCCCTGAACGCACTCTCGGCCGGCTTAGGGTTTCTTCTGCGCTTCGCTTCCACCCAAGCTTCTCCGGCTTCGTCGCCGCCGCCGTGGGTCGTATGCACAGTCGCGGGTAATCCCCATTCTCCTCGCCGCATCTCGTCCCGGTTGATATTTTTCGATTTCTTTTTTGGGTGCTGGGATCTTCAATCTCCGTGATGTGAACTGCAGAAAGGGTATATCCTCGTCGGTGCTGCCGTACAATAGGACTCCGCCGAGTTGGCTTAAGATCTTCGCTTCAGAAGTGAGCCATCTCCTCTTTGTTATTTCCTTCTGTCGGAGTGTTTTTGGTTGAAGCGTGTTGATGTGCTTGATCTCTCTTAGGTGGAGGAAAGCATTTGCAAGTTTTCCAACAAGGGACTGGCTCCGTCGCAGATTGGTGTCATTCTTCGTGACTCTTGCAGAGATAATTTACTATCAAATCAAACCAAAAGATTCAAGAGGTTAGTTGTATTCAAGGTTCGCAATTTCTTTACCGAGTGTGGTAATCCAATACATATCGAGTTTCGAGAAAAAAAAAAGCCTAAAAACCTGAAAAAAAAACTGGCTGTAGAAGTCTTATACTAGGTGGTACCCTGTACCGTTTGTAGCACTTCGTTTACCCTGGTTTGCTTATTGATAAGTGTTCGTTCCCAGTGAATACTGCTCCAACTGTATTATACCAAGCAGTATTGCAAACCTTGGTTGTAGCACACGTATGATATCAAATGACATTTAACATGAGGGTAAAGGAAATACCCACACACATACATGGCAATCTAATTTGAAAGGTTCTACTAATCATGGTTCTATGCTTTATCCAGTTCAGCACATACCAGGCAGTGAATACTGGTCCAGTGGCCTATCGGATTGGCAACATGGACCATGTACGTGCCTCCCATTATATTGTTTTTCAAATCTTAACAAAAGGTATTGTTGGGTAACAATATGGTCTCAGCATCTAAAACATTAAACTATGCTACTATGAAACAAGATTTCCACGATCCAACTTTGAGAGAAAGAGAAGAAGGGAGAGGGGGAGGGCTTCTTGGTGTCGGGGCAACAACTACAATGGTGGTGGCAAGATCCACGATGGAAGGATAGGTTTTGGAATAATGCTACTAACATCCCGCACTAGAAGTATCTGAATTGATATTCTCAGAAGATTTCTTGCAACTTCTATATCCTTCATGTCGAGTGCCTTCATTGTAGAAATAACAATGTGTTCTGTGGTTTCTTGGTCAAACTACAAATATAAAGCTTTCCATACTGCAATTGAGAAGAATATATATATATATATATATATATATATATATATATATATATATATATATATATATATATATATATTTTGGTTCGATTGTTTCGTAATTGATATGAATTATATCAGTTTTTGCTGAGACCTAGATGATCAGAGGTACTGGTACATGCCAACCGTACTGACCAAGATGTACTAATATTTCATAAAAAGTTGTCAAGATATTGAAAATGATCATATCTATCTTTTGTTCGACGATTTTGGCATACATTTGTTTACATATTTACTTCTGCTTATACATGTTTATGATTAATTTTGTTTACCTTAATCCAAAGTCCAAAATAAGGAGGGTTGAATGTGACAATTTTTGGTCATAAATATTTTCATATTTTAATTATTATTATTAATTGTGTGAGAGGGTTTTGTTGTAAGGAGGGAGCTCTTACTTTGACTGGTCATATTTTCCTCATTAAAGTTCAATGGTGAGAAGGGATTCATTTACTTGAACTTTTATAATTAGGACCTTAAAGCTTATTATTATTGTTGGTGTTAGTGTATGTATCTTTAAATGTTTATGAAATCATATAAAGACATAGCAATTATTTTTTTCATTGAATTGAATGATAAGGTTGCTCCATTATGATCTAGGAGACTAGAATTTGAGAATCCAAAACAGGTTATCTCAATATAGAGGTAAGGTTGTATGCATTGGCTTTTCCCGAACCCCGCATTAGCTGGTGCCTTTTGCACCGGGGTTGCCCTTTTTATAATGGTGAGTGCCAGTAAATGAAGCTGATCCAATCTCAGATTGGATTTCAGATCAGATCATGGTGTACAAAGAACAAAGGCTGGTTACATGCGCAATGGCTTCTGAACCTTATCTGAAGGCCTGTGTCAGGGAGAATGAAACTTGGAGCGCATCCATGTACCTGGGAAAAGCTTGATGCCTGTTGAAACAACTTGTTAGCTGATCTAAGACATCCAAGAATCCCACAAGAATTTGAAACCACCTCCATGTTTTTTAGATCTATGTGCTGCCGGGATGAGCATTAGTTGTACATGCTCTTCTTTTTCGTCCAATATATTTAAAAGCTCCTCTTCATCCTTGTAATGGTCAGTCATTGACGGGGACCTTTAAGATAAATGGGATAGCCTAAAATGATTGGTCTCCAGACTTTGAGATCAAATACAACTTATAATTCTTAGAATTTGAAGTTTTTATTGTATTTTTTCATCATTTTTTATTGAGATGTATTGTTCGATCATGTCCAACTTAGTGACCCATGGTTTCTCCAAGGTCACCTGCTCAAGATGTGTTGTTTGATCAGTCCCTTTGAAACCTGTTGCTCAGAAACCTATCCTTTCACTGCCAACCTTGCCTCCTCCCCCTGTAGTCTGGGTTGCTGCCAATGTAGCTGTTGCCGATGACACTAGAAAGACCTCTCTTGTTCACTTGCCCTCCCCTTTTCCACCTTCTCTCTCTCCTGCTCTCTAAGTTGGATAGTGGAAATCTTGTTGTTAGTAGAACCATTTTAATTTGATTGTCCTCTGCATATGTGGAAAGTATCTTTACACTCATGTTAAGTTTTATTTCACCTCTTATTTTTGTATCACAACCATGCTTTCTAGATTTTTATCTGTGATTTCATATTCTCTATCGGTCAGGCTTTCCATTTCCATTGGCATTCATTGGTTATTCGAGCATGAATTGCTGTTGAACATCACAGAGTTGATCTCTGTTGTTGCACATGTGCGTGCCCCATGCATCCGAGTAACAAGCCTAATGGTTTTTCACTCTTTAGTTTAGAGACTACCTTTTTTCTTTATCTTTATGAAATTAAGAAATGTTCACAACTTAACCTCCCTTTGGTGTTGGAAAGTTGAATTTTCCTCTGTGGATATTGGACACTGAACCTTTAATGTGGCATCATGAAATTGCGTAGTCATGGTGGTATGCTCATTTGTAGTGATTTGGATAGTTCTTTTGATCTAATTATTTCAGGAAGCCATTTTACTTTCTCACTCTCGTAATCTTGTAAAATTTTGCTCATAGCAGTTACCTAATCCGCTGTCTGATTTGGTCATTCATGTGTATGTACTTGCAGAGATAAAACATAAGCAGGATAGAGAATTTAACATGGATGAACCTACCATGGAGGAAAAGCTTTCAAGCTTAGACATGCTTAATGATGAGAAATTAGATACCAAAGCTATA